AAAAAAACCTGAAATAAACCTACTATATTTCAACCTGAAAGTAAACCTGTAAAAAACCTGGAATTAAACCTGAAAGTAAACCTGTAATAAAACCAGTTAGGGTTGGGGTTGGGGTTAAATAAAACCTGTAAAAAACCTGTAAAAAAACCTGAAATAAACCCTGAAATAAACCCTGAAAGTAAACCTGAAAGTAAACCTGTGATGAAACCTGAAATAAAAACTGTAAAAATTGATGCTCCTTACTACTGGGGATATAAAATCAGTGCTTACTACGTGAGAATTAATATTAGTGCTTACTACTAGATCACCTCCATTACTACTTACTAGTTGGGATGCCATAGTAGTGAAAACTGCAAACTGCTGGGTAGGGGGGTTCTGTTGGTGCTGCTCTTGTTCTATTCTCACTCCCAAAATAAACTATCAGATCTTTTTTTCATTATTTCTCATTTTTACTGTGTTATTAGTTCCGATATTATGTAGCAGTAAAACTATCCAGCTTTGAAGTACTTCTACTACTATTACTAAGTCAAGTAGTAACGTTATCAAAAATACTAATGAAATTATAGTTTTTGACTATTCTGTCTAGTGTAGTTTTTTTTAACTAGAATGCTGAAAAGTAGTAGTATCACAATGATGCTAATGGTTCAGCACCAGTGGATGCAGTTCAAGCACCACACAACGTACTTTTTGTTCACCCGATCGCCTCGCTCAGCGTTCCAGCCCTCGCCCGAAAGGATTGTTCCAGTCCATCGAAGGAATTCTCCATCTCCATCACGATCTCGATGTTCGAGCTCCTCCTGCGGGCCTTGGACCAGCGGGTGCCGTAGTTCTTTTTGGGGACGAGTGGCGAGGATTCCCGCACCCTCGGGAGCGATTCCGGATTGGTGGCGTCCTCGGCGGCCGTGGCTCCGGCAAGGGCCTCGTTCCTGCGCAGCACGCCCGTCACACGGAGGTACAGGACTCCCAGCAGGGTGATGATGGAAAGGACCGGTGCAAACAGGGCTGCCGGCGCGAGCTCCCGGCCGTCGATCGAAGCGGCGACGTCCCCGGGATGCCGGAGGCAGTACGCGGCGACGATGCCGGGGGTGACGAACCCCGCAACCGAGGCTGCCATGCTGAGCACGGCCTGCATCGAGCCGTGGTAGTCCTTCAGGGCCGGCTTGGCATTGACGGCCAGCGTGAAAATGGTGCGGGTCGTCGCTGCGAGGTAGGGAAAACTCGAGGCCCCCAGCAAGACGGGGAGGTAGAAGTTCCAGGCCGTCGAGTCCTTGATCCAGAGCGCGTACACCAAGACGTAGGCCACCGTCGACAGGACCAGCCCCCCGCACAGCATATTTGCCTCGGAAACCCCCCGCTCGGAGAGACGCATGACGGCCACCATGTTGGCAGCAATCACAACGGAAATCGATCCCAGAGCGACCGAGGACTGGACCGGGCCCCACCCGAGGCCGTCGTTGGCGGCCGGAGCAAAGCCCGTTTCAATAAGCTGGAAGTTTGCGTTGAAGGCAAAAATGCTGAGCATCGGGACCAGAACGTCTACTGAGAGCAGGCTGCAAAGGACAGCGGAACTGGACGACTTGGTCCGTTCCGCCTTTTCGTCGTCGTCGCGAACCGAGTCTCCCTCCTCCTCCTCGTCGTCGTCGTCGTCGTCCTCGCCGCCGCCCCCTGGTTCTTCCAGAAAATACAGAATCGCCGCCATGGCCGTCAGGTTGCAGGCCACAATAATCAGCCCCACCGAGTTGAGGCTGTCCAGTCTCCAGTGCGTTCCGATGGGTACGTCGACCCTCGCCACCAGAATGTTGACCCCGGGTCCCACGGCCATTCCCAGAATCCGGCAGAGCGAGAGCAGCGAGTTCACCGCCGTCTGCTTCTTGGCCGGGACCGACCGGGCGACGTAGGCATAGCCGAGGGCACTGTTGGCAGCCCCGCAGCCACCCAGGAGGCGTGCCCCAAAGATCGCGAGCACGGCGACGTTTCCGGCCGGGAGGGCCGACGCCAAGACATAGACGATGCCTCCCACCAGAGCAATCAGAAGGGAGACGACATAGGGAACCCGAAAGCCCTGGTGGTCGGACCACCAGCCGACGATCGGTTTCATACAAAAGGAGGAAAAGGAAAAGGCGGACATGATGAGGCCGTACTGGTCCTTGGTTCCCCCGTTTTGCAGGACGTAAAAGACCAGGGACGGCGTGACGAGCATGTAGGAAATGGCGTCAACAATGCCGACCACTGTCAGTGCGATGACGTATTTCTCTACCGCCATGGTGCTCTTGTCTCTATTTCTGTTTCTGTTTCTGCTTCTGGTATTCTTCTTACTGGGTTATAGGAAGAGCTGGAGTGCTGTAGTTGTTGGTTTCTTCTGGTTCTGTTCTAATTGTGCAATGCCGACGATTCGATCGAAATAGGAACGTATTCTTCGACGGAACTGTACGATAATGTACGTTACGTGGTGTTTGGAGGATCCTCAGATTCGAAAACACTACTGATCGTACCTTTACATGCTCTTGTATAATCTACTCCGAGCGATACGACACACGGTACGACTAACTTTGATACAGCAATCTTGAAGATGAGATCATGTATGGTTGCGTTTTCGAATAAGCCCCGGTCAGCGGCGATATTTCTACTAAGTATGATACGGTGGGTTTGCCTTACCTTTATCTCGCCGACAAGCTCAATTTTCTTGCAACTATCGGTGCGTAATTTATTGCGAACTGCGAACAAGTTTTTCTTGACATAAGAGCTTGTACGTGTGCTGTATCTTACGTACTGTAGTAGAAGTTCTTCATAGAAGTACTTCCAATTGTATTTCTACTAGGGATAACGCTATGGAAGCCGCACCTCCTACGAACGCATTTTGTAGTGGATCACGAGTGGCTAGTGAATAAACTCAAACGGATCAGAACCCTTTTCTCCGTTACTGAGCAACGGCTATGAAATGTTGTAAAAGCATTACCATACCGTACGAGTATTGGTGCGTTGTAAGACGTGACAGCTTTTTAACGGTAGGGATTCTACAGGACTCTACGTGTGGAACAATAGTCTTATTTTACACCCTGCACCTCAAGCTGTCACTTAGTTCCACCTGGAACCAAAAAGGAACTATTTTATATCGAATTATTTCCTATTTCAGAGTACCTCCGAGCTGTTTT